TTTTTTGGTAATTTTAGCAGAGACAGGGTTTTACCATGTTGGCCAGGCTGGTCTTGAACTCCTGACCTCAGGTGATCTGCCCACCTCAGCCTCCCAAAGTGCTGGGAATACAGGCATGAGCCACCACGCCCGGCCTCATTTCTTTTATTAAACGACAATGCATTTAATTTAAACTGCTTTGTTCCAGAAAGAATTTCAGTTGCACCTAGGGAAGCTAAAATGAAAATCTAAGATATTACTATGACCACTTGTACTAATACTACACAAATAGTAAAGCAAATATGATGACCCACGAGCTTAATTTTTTCTTATTTTTTTTGAAAAGACCTTTCAAAATCTTTTTTTTTTTTTTCTCTTTGAGACGGAGTTTCGCTCCTGTTGCCCAGGCTGGAGTGCAATGGTGCGATCTCGGCTCACCGCAACCTCCGCCTCCTGGGTTCAGGCAATTCTCCTGCCTCAGCCTCCTGAGTAGCTGGGATTATAGGCACGCGCCACCATGCCCAGCTGATTTTTTGTAGTTTCAGTAGAGACGGGGTTTCACCGTGTTCACCAGGATGGTCTCGATCTCTTGACCTCGTGATCCACCTGCCTCGGCCTCCCAAAGTGCTGGGATTACAGGCGTGAGCCACCGTGCCCGGCCCTTCAAAATCTTTTTTTTAAGAGGAAATCTAGCTCACTTCCCAACTACTTTGTCTTCTTGGTATCCTTCTTAATTACACACATTCCACCTCAACACTTATTTAACAGATAAGTATCTGGAGGGCTTAAACCAGATAGAGGTAGCAAGAGGGATGTTTTGAAGGTATAATTTTCATAACGTGGTTATGGATTGGATATGGGAAAGTGAGAAAGCCAAGGTGTCAAAGATGAGCCCAGATTTCTTAAATAGAAAACAGAAGAAGGACACAATTTGAAGAAATAATCAGGAATTCTGCTTTGGATAAATTCAATTTGAGATGACTATGAAACACTCACAAGAAAAAATCCAGTAAATAGATCATAAATGCAGCTATAATGGCAAAAGGGCACTGGGCTTGAAGGAAAAGCACTTCAGTTAAGGTCCTGATTCTGCGTAACCTCAAGAAGGGATGTATTCTTCCTGCATTTTAGTTTCCTTATAAGTAAAATAGAGATAGTAGTATCTATCTTATCACCTTGTTAGGAGGATACAATAACAATTTTTGAAGGTCTTTTATAAGTTACTTTATTTCTTGTTTTATAACAGAGATGCAAGAAATAGCATGGTGGACTCCTTTACTTTACTGCTCCCAGCTGATTTGGGAGCCTTGGGCTCCTGTGTAAACACGGCCAAGTCCAAGAACCACACTACGCATAACTAGTCCTGAAAATGGAACAGAAATGGCATGAAGAAACCCCTATGTCAAAGGTGCAAATCTCTTAAGAGGGTGGGTCCTAAGTTCCTGAGGAACATGCACTTTGCTAAGAAGTACAAGAAGGGCCGGAAGAAGAGGCAGGTCACCGATGCCAAGGCCACGAGTTCACCAACTGAGGCTGTCAGGGCCCTTGTGAAATCCACGGAGGTCAAGTCCAAGATCCCGCAGGGCATTCGGTGCAACGCTCAGTCAACTTTCCTGCACTGACCGCCCCAGGCTCAGGTAGTGTGCTCATTCCTGCATCATCAAGGGTTTCAGGCTCTGCTGGCCAAAGTCAAAGCCCAGGGCTCAAACCAAGCACCAGGATGTGGCTGCGTCTCCAGCTCAGGCTCCCAAATGTGCCCAGGGCCCTACCAAGGCTCGAGAGTAGAGGCCTCTATCTGCCAATGTGATGGCAGAAGGACTGGTGTGGCCTCACAGCTGCCATCTGCTGTGGCTGGTGACCTCCTGTGTTGTTTGTACAAGCTGGAACTTTCTCTCCTGGAAATATCTCCACTAAATGGTAAGTGTCTTTATCTTCTTGGCATTTCACTAGCACACCTTGAGTCTTGGGCAGCATTGCCTTGGTCGCCTTCTCCTTTGGAGTCTCCACCTTTAGGGTAGACCTACAACCATGACCTCATCTAGAAGGATGCACAGGGTTAATGTGAAGAAGGCTCTCCTGTGATTCATTATTCATTAGGGTAAAGTTCCCAAGGGCAGGAATCATGGTGCTGGAATGAAATGGGCTTCCAGTGAATGCTAATTGATTGGAATTCAGCATTACCATTTTACTACTAGGTTTCAAATTTGTGGGAAGAAGAAAAAATTTTAGTCAGTTGGTTGGAAGGGGAAACATCTCCCTCCCGGCTCACCTGGGTTTGAAACTGTCCTCTGTCCCTGCAGAGTCAAGCACCAGCTTGTCCACAGAACCTGATGCGGGACAGAGGCCATGGAAACGTGAGGTAGGGAGCTAGTCCCCACCATTTATGTTTCCCCAGAGTGAACTCCTTAACCCTCCCCTACAACCATACATGGAAAATCTGTGTGTGATTAACTATTTTTTGACCACCTCAAGGCCAAGCAGGGAACCTGGCTGCCAACAATAGTAGAGGTAGCTCTGGCTGTTGCAGAGATTACTGGAGAAAGCAGAAAGTAGCTCTCTTTCCATAGAGTCTAAGAAGGCTCATTCTTAGAGGAATAGCCTCTCTATTATACTGCTAAATATAGACTTTAGAAAACTCAAACATTTTTTAAAACCCTAATGACGCAGGAAGAACATGGAAATATCTGAAATGCTTCTCAGTCTTCTATCTTTTTGGAGAGAGTAAACTAGTAGATAAATGACTTGGTCTTGGATAATGTCTATGCAGTAATGCAAGTTTAGTTCTGTTGTCTTTGATTCTTATATATTTTTTGTCTGTTTCATGCCTGAGAATTTCCAAAAGTACAACAAAGAGTCAAACATTAGTCAAACTATCTCTGTATTTTCTAAAATTGAATGCTGTTTCTGTACTAATAATTTTCTAGATATGCTCCATGACCAATATCTGGACACAAACTCCTATTTCCTGGGTATTAAATTTCTTTAATTACTGTCTCCAGTAGAGTTGGCATATCTAATATATCTAGTATATTTGGCATGATGTTTTAAAATACTCTAAGAAGGAGTCAGTCAGTAAATTTTCATGGCTATACAAGGAATCACTGTAAACAGATTTGTATGCTATACTTCTCTGTACATGTGTAGGTTAGAATATACATCATTTCAAGGAGAAAGAAATACTATTTGCTATTTTGGAGCTGATAGTAAGTCTATATAAGCCTTCTTAGACTCTGTGTAAAGAGAGGGACTTTCCGCCCCTTCTCATAAATGCATGCTTCAAGGATAAAGCATTTAGGACAGAATCTGGATTACAGTTAACTCCTATGTAAGTCTTAGCTGTATCTTCATCTTCTACTACTATTACTACTACTGCTGCTGCTAGTACTGAAAAGCCTGAGAGGTATGCTGTGACTAGGAGTCAGCTGACTGGCTTTGTTAGATCTGCCTTGCCCTGGAATAAACCAAACACATGTGCAGTAGATTCAATGTTTGCTCCTCACCTTTGACAGACTCTTTGGAAGGCCATTTCTGTGGGTCACATTTTTCCCATCGCTGTCCCCTTGGAACTGTCAAGTATCAGGTAAAGTCCTGGGATGCAGCATACTCTGGGACCACCACTCTACAGCAGTGCTTCTCAAACTATCCGTAGGGAAGGATCCGTTCTGTTTTTTACTTCCAATCAGTCAGACTGATATTTGGCAAAACATAATAACTAAAAGTGAAATAAAAAACGAATACATATAAAACCCAAGTCCCTTTCCAAAATTTTAAGATTCAACATACACAAAGGCTACCAATGGCTCCCAACAGTTCTAAATGCCTCCTCTCAACTCCCTACTTATCTCCAAACAGCATCCCACAGATGATGGACGGTGGGCCTCATGTTGAGTGGAACATCATCAAGAACAGTGAAGAACCCAAAGGCCCTTCATTTCCTTCATAGTGCTCTCATCAAAGCAGGGGACGCCATGGGCCAGCAGGTCTCAACTCTAGATTGGAGTGGTTAAAGCCCTGGTGTGAAGCTGGTACATTGGAAGCTCAGAGGCCACCAGTGAAAGCTGCCCCTTGTCCGGCTGCTGGCCATCCACATAGCTGGAAATTCACACACAGCTCAGCAGTAGGCTGTTTAGTGCAGACGCACAGGTGTGGAAACAGTTTGTGACAGGCAGGTTTATGGCAAATAAACACATTGTATGATATACTGTAATCAACTATATAAACAACTTTAAAATTGTCTATACTTCATATTTCCAGCATTTGGCTTTGTTAATCATATGTCTTCCTGACAGCAATTAAATAACCTTGAGAGAAAATGTACACCTGCTGTCTCCCCTGGGGAAACTACATCTCTTTTGTGAATGACATAAGTTCTCCATAAAACATAACTGAAGCTAGGAGAATTGAATTTGGAGATATGCCTTCTATCTTGTTTTCTCTCTAGTCGAACTGGAGTTCATGTTAATATAGCTAATCTTTTTCTAGATCCTTATTCTGAGCTTTAATTTTGTCCAAACTATCTCCCCGAGGGGCAAATTGGAGACAATGGATAATAAACGAGGTTGTAATGACCACCACAAGTACCACCACCAGCTCACTGGCCTGCACCTTCACCCTCCCCAACTTCTTTTAACTCTTTCTGATTTCCACAACAGATTCCATCTGCTTCCATGAACATGCTAGTGCTGCTTTCTTTAAAGCATGACACACGTTTGTTTGCTTGACTGAGATCCAAACAAGATTCATTCATTAGGATTAATTAAACATCTCTGTTATTTTGCAGGTTTTCAGCACTCACTAGATGAGGTTGCTGTTAGTGGCCCCCGTGCTGCTGCCACTGGTACTGCTGCTGCATGGAGCCACCATATGGGTACTTTGGGCTCCAGGCAGGTACACCGTGGACTGGCCAAGGTTAGACTCCTGGCTGCTGCCACACTGGTTTGATGAGGGGAAGTCAGGGTGTTTGTGCACTGGGGCATATTGTGCACTGGGGAGTGTTCTTGGTGCTGGTAACTCTGGAAATGTGAAGACAGACTCACTACCAGTGCTTCATGTACCACCACTACCCACCTGGCTTCAGTTCACAGTGGGCTTCTTCCATCTGACCAGACAAGTGAGCCAATCTCTTCCAGGCTTTGGAGACCAAGTATGTAATCCTGACACAAAGCATCACAAACTGGCTGAGTCTCATGTCTTAGAACTTGAATTTTAAGGATGTGGGGCCCCACCAGTTTGGTTGGTGAGTTGGAAACAACGGTCTGGAAGAGAAACATACACCATAAATTCTCACTTCTTAGAATGGTTCCATCCACTCTAGCTACTTGATTTAAAAAATGGCTTCAAAACGTAGCATTTTGGCAATGCAAAACAATGCCAGGGCTATATGATCTTGTTAACAGGCACAAGTCTGATACGATTTGATCTAATAGAGTGAGAATATCCTGAGTCTTATTAGAACTTGGCTGTACAATCATAGCTCTATCAAGGAAGAGGTGGGAGTAAATGACCAATGGGGTCTGAAATGCTGCTGTCACCATGGAGACTACTACAACTGTCAAGAGAAACTGAAGCCAGGGAAGTTGCAAAACCACAAGTGAGAGATGTGCACCACCATTGACAAGAAATTCTGGGGCAATGGTTGGAACATGGCAATGTCTGACTTTGCAAGTGAATCTGAAACAGTTTTGGAACTGCTTCAGATAGCAAGTTTAAGAGGCCACTGTCTTCCCCACATTGGACCAGCTAAAGATGATCGGGCTGTTCCCATCTTCCAAGAAATGCTTCTTGCTGTTGGGAGGTAGCTGAGATCAGTGGGGAGGCTGTCTATGCCTCTAAACCATTGGAAAAGAACATCACATCTGCATGGTATACCTCTTTAGGATCAGCTGTTTATGCCATTTTACTGCGCTGGCCAGAAAATTGATTCTTAAACCTCAAATTCCCCATAATCACCTGGACTACAAAGCACACAGTGCCAGGAAACAAGAAGATCTGAAGTCCACAGGTCTTGATAAAGGCCTTCTTCTTTCTCTGCCCCAATTATCATCCTCCACTCTCCCAGTTGAGTTTGCTTGGCCTGTAAAACTGATGGGAATAGACTGATTATTGGAGTTCAAGAGGAAAGGGTCATTGCCTGCTGTTTACTGCTTTGATTTGCCTTTTATAGTACCATCATTGTAATAAATTCACTTTTCTTCTCCACCCAGAGATGGTTTTTCCAGTACTTTTTAATCAAAGGAACTGAATATATTACACTGATGCTTCAATGGACCAAGCATCTGAGCTCTCTTGCTAGCAAACCTCTCTCTGGTCAGCAAAAGAAGGGACCGAATGGAGCACTTAAGCCCCAAGGTCATCCATTCTTAACTTTGAAAATTATCTATAACAGAAGCTTTCCTCTATAATCTGTGTCTGAGAACCTGCTTCTTGACTCAGAGACGTTAGATAAAGAATAAGCCAAGTCGCCCTGTTGCTTGTGAAGGAGGTGGAAAGGGTATGGCAAGCACAACCACACACTGTTTATTTAGCATCAGTTGTCACCAACACTTCCTCCTCCCTGTTAAAGTGCAGGAGGGCCTGGAAGGGAAGGAAAAAGCTTGCTGGGCTGCTAGTGGTCAACCATTCAAAAGTTTCCAGCTCTGAAATCCAGTCTGTTTATAGTGATATTATTAAGAAAATGAATATGATTCTGCTCTGCCCTTAAAATACAATCAAATAATGTTTGCATGCTAAAAAATTTATGAGTTTCTCAACCATATCTCCCACCTCCCCCTTGCAATTTGTTTAAGTTATAGAAGAAACTGTCTGTCTTGGAATTTTCCACAGTTTGGAGTTTCCTAATGGCGTCCCTGTGATGTTTAACATATTTCTCTGTCATTGTAAGCTGTAAACTGGTAGTTGGATTTAGAAGCTTGACCAGATTCAGATCTATTTTTTTTTTGTCAAGAATAATGCATATGCAGTGTTCTGCACTTCTGTTAGGAGGTACGTAATGTCTAAGTGTCTCTCTTTGGTGCTTAGCAGCCATTAGTGAACACTATCCAGAGTCATTAATTCATTAGAAGGTTGCAACATGGTGATATCTCAATTTTATCCATCCTCCTTCATTTATTTAGCTGGAAAATTTCTATAAAGAGAAACTTACCCTTGATTATTTGATTACTTTGAGACCAGTTTTTTTTTTAACACAATGAATTAATTCTCTAGCATTCTTTAAAGATGATTAATGAGTTTAGATTTTTGATATCATTCTGAACTTACATTTAAATATACTTGATATGTTTCCATTGAATTCTTTTCATTCATCATTCCACTGAAGCTCAAATTATCCCATCTTTGGCCAGTTGGATCCTCTATGGACAGAACCATAGTACTCTTTCATAGCATCCTTGATACCTGGCATAACACTGTATTCCAGAATTATTTAATAAACTTCCTGTCTCAGATCTGGAATCAGCCCTCTTTCCAAGAGGTGGGTTCCTGTTGGTGGAAAATAGTATTTAGACACGCAGTCAGGGTTTTGGAGGTGCTCATTGGTAGTGGTAGTAGGTTGGCCATTGTTTCTAGGTCTTTCCAGTGGATAGAACTAGAAAATGTGTGCTTTTAAATCTTTTAAACTATAAAATACATTATGAATACGTATTGCTACCTCAGATTTATTTTCGGAACTACAGTATTTTACCTCATTGATCTTACAGATGTATCTACTCTCTCCCAAGCTAAAAATCCCAGTTTTCAACGACACCAACATGTATATATATATTTGCTTTACCCCACACTACACACACAACAGTTTCAGAATACGAATACGAGTACTACCATAACAGCATGATTACTGAATCAATAGACACAAACAAAGCCAGTTAGAAGATATAATGGAATAAAAGACCATGTGTCTGTCTAATAGCTAAAAACAAAATGAAATATCTCAGTGTAAACTTAACAAGAAATGTTCAAAATCCATATTAGAAAAATTATTAAACACTCATAAATGTACAAAATTAGACTTAAACCATTGGAAAGGTAAATGATATTCACAAAGAAAACTCAACATCATAAATATCTTAGTTATTTCTATGCTTATTTAAATATTTAATGCAATCCCTGTGAAAATCTCATCACATTTTTTTTTTCTAGAGCTAGACAAATTGATTATATAGTGTGTGGAAGAATAAACATTCAAGAATAGCTAGAAAATGCCTGAAAAGGAGAGCAATGGTATTATATTAAAACGTATAATAAACCTCTAAAGTTAAAATAGTTTGGTGTTAATGAATAAGCAGAAGAATGGAAAAAATAGAGAATTCAAAGGTATACCTAGTTGCATATGAATAATATATGATAAAAGTAGCATCTCTAAGTAAAAGATGGAACTTTTAATAAGTGATGATAGGGTAGCTGGACAGCTGTAAGCGAAGAGATAAAACTGAAGCTACTCCTTGGACTATGTAACAGGACAACTTCTAAGTGGATGAGAAATTTATGTGTAAACGATAAAACATCTAAAATATTAGAGGGGAAAAACCCCTGGGTGAATTAATCTATAACCTGGATTGGAGATGACTCTAGATTACACCTTAAAATCCAAAAGTAAAAAGTAACAGAATTGTCACTTGTGATTACATGAAAACAAATGCTTGACATTTGATCCACGAGAGTTATCTTAAGCCCATTTTGCAGATGAGAAAACTGAGATTCAGAGGGATTTAAGCAACTTGCCCAAGTTTATACAGTTAGTAAATGGCAGAGATGGAACTGAACATGTGGCAATTGCAACTCATTGCACACTGAGCTACAGCACCTAAATTTCTGTTCACTCTAAGTACACAGAAAAATCAGAAAATAAACATTTTCAAGACTCTACTCACAATTGGGAAATATATTCATTTGTTGTTGTTGTTGTAGTTTGAGAGTGTCTCACTGTGTCACCTAGGCTGGAGACAAGTGGTGTGATCATAGTTCACTGTAACCTCGAATTTCTGGGCTCATGCAGTCTTCCTGCCTCAGCCTCCAGAGTAGCTGAGACCACAGGCACAGGTCACCATACCTGTATAATTTCAAAATTTTTAGTAGAGATGGGGTTTTGCTATATTGCTCAGGCTGGTCTCGAACTCCCGACCTCAAGAGACGCCCTGCCTCCACCTCCCAAAGTGCTGGGATTATAAGCGTGAGCCACTGGACCCAGGCTAACATCTTATGAATAGTCTAGGCAAGGTCCCATCCATTGAATTTATACTTAATGTAAAAGAATTACAGAAGAGCTTTAAAAGGCATGACACTCTGGGGAAAAAGAAATACTTTAGTATATTTTGAAGACAAAACTAAAATGTAGTATGACACAGCATGTCCATTTATACCTCTTACTTTTTATTCTCTCGGTCAGAAACTCTTTGTGATTTAACAGCAGCACTCTCATCTAATTCTTGCTTGGAAACACCATATCAGCCCTAAGAATTCAGCTTTAAGTACATGAAGGTTGAAAGATTCTTCAGATCTTTTAATTCCTTATCAGCAAAGACAGTGGCTTGGCCAAGTCATTTTAATAGGAACCGTCCAACTGGTCGCTGGGCTCATAAAGGCAGGATATGCCAAGTGATTGAAGGCTTCACTTCTCAGGGAGCATCTGGTGTTCGCACAAACTAAGCAATTAGTTACAACATTTACTTCCTGCTTTTCCTATCATCTAATTTTTTCATATTTTAATTCTTCATTTCCTTGCAAGGTATCTCACGGCTAGGCAACAAATACTGCATTTCTGTTTCTGCTCCTTCAAGAAAACCTTGAAAGCTGATTATGCTTTCTCTCCATTAGGAGCATGGTTAATTATTGGCTTGTGAGAGCAATGCAATCCATTCATTGATTTTGCAGGGATTAATTAAGCACCCACTAATGTGCCAGACATTGTTCTTGGTGTTAGAGATACAGGGAGGACAAGGCAGACAAGTTTTTGCTCTTGAGGAGCTTACATTTCATAGGAAGAGACAGAGGAAAAGAAATAAACCACCACAAAGCCAGGTACTATCACAGAGTGATTAATAAAACATTAAATGCTGTGATGTGATAGGGGTGGGGCAGGGAACTTCCTTAGCTAGGATAATCAGAAAAGTCCCTGACTAAGGTTCAAGCCACATGAAGACCCAGGGGGACTGATGTCCAGGCAGAAGGAACAAGTACAAAGACCTGGAGGCAGGAATGCACTTGGGGTGTAAGAGGGAGAGAAAAAGCTCAGTAGTTGGAGGAGAGCAAACTATACTGAAATATAATTGACCTCCAAGTATTTGAGGATTTGCTCATTTGTTAGTTTATTCATTTACACTCTGCCTTGTTCCAAAAAGGGTTTATAGTAGCCCTTTGAATGTCACTGTTCCTTACAGTGCCTATAGATTTGAGAAAAATAAAAGCGAGTTCTCTAGCAGGTAAAGTCTAACCAAGATGGGGCATTAGGACAATCAATGCAAGATGCTTACTTTTTCTTTTCTTTTAAAGATTCATACACACTGAAATGTTATTTCAGAAATTATTTCTGATGAAAATGGTTGTACTGAATTTAATTTCAAATCAGCAGACTCATTCTGTAATTAATCATGGCACATGCTATTTACAAAACTCCTGTTAAAAACAAATTTCTTTTATACACATTACAAAGAAATGTTACATAAAATTAAGCACCAAGTAATGACTTTAATTTGTGGTTAGTTAATAATACACAGATGATCACACGGCTGTAAAGGAAGCCGCTTGGGACATTAACAGATATGCTGGCAAAGAGGAATTGGAAACAGGCAGACTGTGAGATGTTTGGGCTCAGCTCTGGGTGGGGAATAAAGAGGGCTCAAGAATCAATGAACATTTGATGCTTTGACTTCCAGTAAGAGGCAGAAGCCTGATGAAGCCATTGCTTAGAGAAGCCTGATTGACCTTTAGGTTTTTCAAATGGTTTGTAAGTTATTTTTTACTTCTTACTCAGCAAAAAGGTTTTACACAACTTAATGAAGTTTTTATTTAGCCTGAGATTTACTGAATGACCGTGGCTCAGTAGTTCTTTTTGGCTTTGCAAGAAGCTATAATTGTCCCAAGTTCTATGAGCCACTTCACTCAGCTCATTTCTTGGTACTTAGTGATCCCAAGCTAAGACACTCAGACTTTATATTTTTGGAGATGAAAATAAAATAGAATAAAGCCCTAATATTTGAAGGAAACTAATATTTCATCTCCCTGAAAGTCTGCAGGCTACATAAGTGATCGTATAAACAGACACAAAAATGAAAGTGTTTGATCCCACATTGTAGCAAATGGGTGGAAACACCAGTGACCTCATGGCTTTGTGATTAAAGTTGGTTTAAACCTCAAGAAAGGGAGAAGAGTTATTAGGAGACTGAAAATGGTTTGCCTTTCTCTTATGGAGCAACTTTTCTGATATTTTCTCAATTCTATTTACTCTCATCCAAAAGCCAGTGTGCAGCAGGGAAGGGGTGAGCACAATGAGAGACTCCTGGTGCCCAGCCCTGGGAGAGGACCTCAGAGTCCTGCGGCGTAGAGATTCCTGGAGGGCATCCAGGGCTCCCCTAGCTCACCATCTTTCTTATTTGTCATTTCACGTGTTCACACACCTCCTTTGCTTTGTAGATAAAATGGCTATCAAAGAACTGTAGACTCCATAGTGACATTTTAGCTTCTTAAACAGGTGACAAACATCCCTGGCATATCTAGGTTAGAGATTACATCAGTGCCATCATTACTCCGAGGCATCTATGGCTGGTCTCTGTTTCCCAGGGAAGCTGATTTAAGTCATTCCTCCCATGGAACTGGATGAGGATGAGGAAGTCTGTGCAACTTAATCTAGAATAAAGCCTCACTGTTGTCCTTATTAGGCTTTGGGGCAATATGATAATATACTTACAGAAAGAGGCACACACACCATTACAAGACTAATGATGAGCTGAAGATTAAAAAAAAAAAAACAACAAAAAAAAAAACAAAAAACTTAGGGAAGCTTCTGAATGGGATTAATCAACAGCTCCAAGGCAATGTCATGCTGTGCTTATGTTTTCTGCCAATATTGACATTGAAGAATTAAACATGTGGCTAAAAGGGATATCTTTGTCCCTGTGCAAGAAATTTTCTGTGTTACTATTTCAGATCAAAGAGAATGCAGAACAATAGAAGCAAGAAGGGTCCCAAATATAGCGTTGCAACTCTCCTCACCTGCAGGAAGGGGCGAGCACTGTATATGTCTTTGCTGTTTTTGTTTGTTTAACCTCTGCTCCATCACCAGTGATAAGAGTAATAATTACATTACACACATACACATATTCTATCTACAAACATATAAATATACCCATACACATATACATTAACAAATACACATAATTTGAGCTGGAAGAAGAGTGATAGAAAAGGACCTCTCTTTTTTCATTTTTTTGAATTTGGAAAGCTATTACAGACTTCTTCAGAAACATTTTGGGACAAGCAGG